TCGGCGGTAAAGAAAAACATAGTAAGAAAGCCTGTATGCATGTCTGAGAAATTTTAATAAATTTTTCGAAGACACGTGAAGTCTGTTAACACGCTTTGGGTTAGCGCAGACACTTTCTTGCTCTTAACCCCTCTCAGAAATGAGAGGAAGCCGGTGCCCAGGTGTGGGTCATATATAGGCTGTGACTTTAATAAATTAACTCATATTTAGATGCTGGAAAGGGCTCAAAGAGTCGTTTTAAAAGAGCCGTCTTTAAATATTCACACATTCCACCATCAAAACCGCAGAATATTAAACTTGAGAAAGTTAAACTATAAATCTATAATTTCGACAAATTGTACCGTCTTTGCCCACGTCTCAGCGAAGACAAAAGTCTACTATTTTTTCTCAAGTTTTAAAACTTCTCTTGTGTGCAACTATAAATTATTAATTATATTACAACTATAAATAGACGCTATTGCCATTTTCTATTAACCAGATATTGATACCTCGGAATTTATTCAAATGTCATAAATATTCACATTAACATTGACGGCACTCTGAGAGTCAGTGGGGAAGTTCTTGACAACGAAGGACCTTTACTTCTTTGAATACTTAAATAGAAATATTGCTTTCCCATGCCGGAAAAGTTTTATTCATGGCTCCCATAATTCCAAAAATCTCACGGGCTACGTAGTCTGCATACCGCAAAGGGTAATGGAACGAGTTACATTATCATTTGGATCTCACATTTTAATAACAGTTGTCAACCATGAGCCATGCATACTTGTCCCAACGTCAATACAAAACATTTGATTGATATGCAAGTGGCATTCACATTTTCACTATCGTTCAATGTTCCATTGTTTGCAACACTTTCTATAAATAAACATTGCCTTTTTTTGCACGATACGTCTGACGTCGTTTTGTTGTTTCCGTAAATAGCAAAATTCCATGTAATTATTTTCTCGATAAGGTGAAAATTTAAAAAATCTATAAATCCTTAAGTACTGATTTGCTAATTCTTAGTAAATAATTTTAAGGTTGGTTTAACTTCACATTTAACTATAGAAACAGAAACAGAAACTTTTTTATTCAATGTAGATTGTAACAATACTTATTGAAAGTCACTTTTTTAATTTACCACTGATCATTCATTATGATATCATTATGAATGAACCTTCGGTGAGTCATTATCTGATGGTGATCATTATCTTATATGATAACCCATCAACTAGATTTCAAGTACAATCGTCTCCGTCTAATCTATAAAATATTTTTGGCAATAGCCATGTACCCTCTTACGACATCCAAAGGATAAAATACAAAAAATAGTTAAAATACAAAATAATTTTAAAAATAGGATGGATTGATTCTCTTTCACTGCTACACCGTGTCAAAAAAAGCAAAGTAGCCATTTGCTTTACTTGAATATGTTGGAGGAAGACGATAGCTGCTACATAAGTATATTATCACTCTTGTGATTATCTGATGCTTGAGCTTGTTTTGTACTGATGAGCTGATAGAAATCTAAGTAATATTTAGATTACATCAATGGGATATCTGATGTGAATGAATGAGCTTCACATCTCTTGTCTATTTTTTTTTAATTTGAACGTTTATCGGTCGGTTTAATATTTTTTTTATATAATTAATATTATTACACGCCGGCCGTTAAGAAAAGATACCTGCGGTAATTGTTGTACTGTTTCTTCCACAAATTTACAAATAATATTTGAGTAACGGATATTTTATTTCTAACGTCTAAACAACATGGAGATGTCATATCATTTTCTTACCATCGTACTAATAAGCGCTTAGTCACTGAATATTGGAAATCGATATTTGAGATTTTCATGAATAAAAGTTAATGGTTAAAACATAGAAAAGGTTAAATCCTGAATTTAGTGTTCGATTCGAGAAGAAACCAAATATGTGTACGCAACATACATTTAGGGTATCGAATTTGGACATGTACCTAGTGATCGTTCGTGTATTTTCTTGCTGCATACTGGCATACCTTCGATCGTATCACGTGAACGTAGCCTCGGATTCACCAAATTAAATAGCTCAAGTGAAAGCTCTATGTTGGCGTGTTTATAATTATTTCCGCAAATTAAAAAAAATAATATAAAATTTAATTGTACTTAATAAGTATTAGGTATAATTAAATTTTACTACATATATTTTTATATGTCACTAAATGAACGGTGAAACATATCTAATCTATCAGTAGTTAGGTAAAGGCTAAATACCGTTAATATTACCGTTACAACCTATTAAAGTCTAAAATAGGCTTTAATAGGTTGTAACGGCTTTTTTATTTTTAGTCCTTATTACGAAGATGCTGCTGCTCATCACCTCATTTGCTTACCTCTGTCGCCTCTTACGACATCTACGGGATGATATGGAGATATGAGAGAGCCACGCTGCGCCTATATTATGGTTGTAGAACAAATGGGTCGGCTGGACCGGGGAAGGGCCACACTCTCACAGAATACCATCGTAAAATAGCAGCTTAATACTGCTGTGCTTCGTATGGTGCGTGTAGAGATCTGGAGACCCTTTTTTACTGGAATCGAGGCATTCCATCTTAGTCGTCAGGGGTGACTACGTATCTATCTGCGTTTTGATTCTTAATCGAGGATAAATTTAGATGTCTATGGGCCGCAGTACCCACTTACTATCAGGTGGTGTATGTGCTCGTTTGTCGCCCTTATTCTATAATAAATATTTTTAATTATATTTAACTGCTGAAACTATAAATTAAATTGAAGCTGTAACAATTATACTATTCTACTATTTCAGTTCTTAATAATCGTAATATACTGAAGAAATATTTAAATATATAAAAATACAAACTATGCCATGGCACATATATCGAAATTCAGAAGAAATTCATGAATATATATATATATATATTTTAGTACCCGGATGACCGAGCTTTGCTCGGTTTTTTTAAGTTACATTTATATACAAATTACATGAATAATAGTTTTTGATCTTATTGACATAATAGAAAAAACTGAACTGGTTATTTGAATAAAAAATCATGAGTGCAATTAGTTTAATTAAAATTTTTGTTTTTTAAAAAATACTAAAAAAGGGGCTCGAAATAATAGATTTTCTCACAAAAGAAGGGAACTTGAAAAAAAAAAGTCGGACCCAAGACGGCACGCGAACCACGGAACTCCGATATCACGCCCGAACAACATCCCATCTGAGCTATTACGATCGTTGGGAACCTGTCGAAATTTACCTTCTTATATTGTCTTATATTGTAGCAGTTTTTTTATTGCTTGAAAACACGGACAAAAGACATTTTCTAAAAATAAATCCTAGCTAGATCGATTAATTGCCCCCGAAACTACCTGGACACAAAATTTTATGAAAATCGTTGGAGCCGTTGTCGAGATCGCGATTATATATATATTTTTTTTTTTTTTTTTTTTTGCAGGAAATTCCGAAACAAAACGCAAACAATACTAATTGTCTATGATGTTCTTCTATAAGTACTTACTTTACTAACGAAACCACTAGGTACAACGCTTAGCACAATGCCCGTCTCGGTAACCCAAATAACTTGATTACTATAGAACTTGGTTGTATTCAGTCGTACATATACTTGTAAGTACAAATTCAATGTCACAAAGCCTTGACTATACCATAAGCCTGTAACCTACATATACATCTACTATGATATGATATGACACAAACACCTACTAGTAACCTTGTAGAATCTAGAGCACCGTGCAAGTTTGTATTCAACGCGTGCAGTAGGGATTACAAAATATATTCGAAATATATCATTTTCATCATCAACACTTCACAAAAACTAGTCTATGGATAAAGACAAATGAATCTGCCACTATTCTAGCTGAGGAAAATTAATCGCAATGTTCGAAAATTTAAATCAAAAACTATAAACACTTTTAACCGAGTTCGAGAAAAGAGGAGGTTATCAATTCCACAGTATTTTTTATGTATTTACCACATCTTCGAATTTATTAATGACTTTAAATAAAGAATATATAGTTTCATAGAGATCCCGCGTATTACATTACGAAATATGTTTAAAAAATGAAAACACATTAAATACATTGTTTTTTTGTAAATGTCATTTTAAAAATTGTTTTTGTTTTATTCACCTTCATTATATGTATTATATTACAAATACATTTTAATTCCGATACCGTAACAGTCTATTAGAATCCACTCCTGAACATAGGCCTCCCCCATAGATTGTCTCATAGGAGGTAGTAATGTTTATAGCATTGTTAATATTCTTTATAAAATTTAAAAAATATATGTAGAGACGATGACAGGAGCGCTATGTTTTTGGTTCCGTAGAAGAGAAACTAAGCCCTACTGTAGGGTACTTGAGGGCGCTATTTGCGAAGACACTTTGTCAGTGTCTCTTCTCAGGAGTATCTCGTTTAGAGCCATGGCGGCAACTTACGTGGCTGAACTAAGTAAATGGCGCAAACAAGAGTCTCGGACACATTATTACATATTTGTGCCATTTGCTGTAGAGACGTTTAATCGGTGAGGTCCACGAGCAGTAAAGGGAACTGTATCAACAGCTAGTTGTTGCCGCTAGAGGGCTAGCTCTTTTTACGCTAAAAGGCGCATTCAGAGAGTACACATAGCCAGTATTTTTTAACGATACGTGATTATAACTTATTTTATTTTAAAAAGTCATTAAACTATCACTAATTTTATTCAATTTTAGTTTTATTTATGTTAATTGCATGCAAACGTAATTCTTCATTTTGTGTAATTAATTTCCAATACAATGTAATACTGTTCTATGGAATAAATGACTATGACTATAACTATTACTATCACTATCAGTATTACTATCACTATTGAGTACGAAACTTACTCCATGGGTTTACTGCTAATATTTCATAATTAATAAAATTGCAAAAATCCCTTAACATTTTTATTCTTTTGTATTGCAGAATCATCTGGAGATCTCAATTCTGTGATGAACCATGCTTAAACAAAAACTTCTATTGTTGGTGAGTAAACATTCTAATGGATATATTATTACTGTTACATTATTTTATATTGTCGGATATAATAACCCATTAAAATACAGGTAATTTAAAAATGCCGATAGCTTCCGATTATTCTGAAATTGTCTACGTGATAGAAAATTGAGTTATAAACAGCCGAGTCACCACTTTGCACGCTATATCCATTGAGACAAGAAACAGCAGGTATCTCGAGTCCCTACTCATTAGTCGTGTAACGCAATGCATCGAACATCGCAAATTCATAGCCTGACGGTTTTATTTTTCCTCCTTTTTGCCAACAGTTTATAAATGTTCTGGGTCTTTTTTTTAAGTTCATTTCATCAAGAATATGTAGAGGGCTATATAACATACCCCACGTTACATAGTGTAGTAAATTTCTCCAAAAAGCTTCTGCGCATTGGGCCCATGATCCCACGTAAGTCAATAACCAAAGTTTGTACTTGAACTGTCGAAAGCTTACAATTATATAAATATACTAACGACCCGCCCATATTACGCCTAGATATATAATATATATTAAAGTCATTTTTTTAGGATAAAATAAATCCTAAATCTCTCCTGGTAGTGCTCTCTATCTGTTCATTCAGTTTAATCACAAACGGTTCAGTTATTACAACGTTTGGCGCGGACAGAGAGACAAACATTAAAAATGGTTATTTATAAAAAAATTACACACAACGCTTCTGCTTAGACTGACGTTTTATTACGAAATTATCGTCTGGGCCCCAGCTAAGATCAATAACTAGGAGATACATAATAATAATATAACTATCTATCCAGGTTGAATCAGAAACTACCTTACTATATGTTGTTAATGGAAGCCGTGCTCGTAAATGACCGCGCCAGGCTCTATTGGGATCGGGTCACCATCACAGATAAGATTATCCTTGCGAATAAGTCTGATATTCTATTGGTGGAGTACTACATTAACCTTGTATGAATATCAACAATTAAAGATATTATTTAATACTTTAAGCCATAGGATACTATCTTATTTCTATCAGAAGATGTCTTAGCTAACGAAGTCAAACAGAAATAGAATTAGATTTTTTTTTCAATATAGTTTATGAATAATACTTATTAAAAGTCATTTTAATTCTTTAAATTTAGATATTATACAGCTATACTGTCATTATTTTACTAATGCTAGCACTTACAGATAACATACATTGCGACTTTGACGACTAATTTTAGTCCTAAGTCAACATAAAAAAGGCTGCCTTTTCATTTCCTATAATTACAACTCATGGCATAGTCTACTTGAAATCAGTGACCTACTGTAAAGGTACTGCCCCCGTTTCATTAATTTAAAAGGATACTCAACGTTATACTTTACAGTGATTAAATAATCACTGTTCCGATTAGTGTAACGTACAAAAATGCATTTTGTAATTCTTAATATCACTTTAAGACATTCGCTTTAATAATTTAGTAACAACTTGCTCAATTTTACGAAATATATCAGCACAACTTTATAGAACTATAATAAAGTATCATAATTAACGACAAACACACACTCAGAAAGGGGAATGAACACAGAAAGGGGAATGAAAGTGAACGCAAGTAAGACGAAAGTGATGGTTTTTGAAAGAGAAGAAAGCAAAACGGTATGTGAAATAAGAATAGAAGGAGAGTTAATTGAGCAAGTGGATGAGTTTGTGTATTTGGGATGTGTATTTAGCAGGGATGGTAGATATGGTAAGGATATAGAACGACGAGTAAATGCAGGGAATAGAGTGAATGGGGCACTACACTCTATTGTGAAGAACCAGAATGTATCAAAAAAGGCACGTATGGTAATTCATAATGCTGTGTTAGTCCCTACTTTAATGTATGGTAGTGAAAGCTGGGTGTGGCAGAAGAAGCACGAAAGTAGAATAAATGCTGTAGAAATGCGGTCTTTAAGGAGTATGCTAGGGTTGAATCTGAATGACAGGATGAGAAATTGCATGATAAGAGATTAATTGTGGTATGCAAGATGATGTTGTGACCAGGATTAAGAAAGGAATGCTTCGATGGTTTGATCATGTAGAAAGAATGAATGAGGAAAGAGTGACAAAACAAATTTATATGGCAGATGTGAACGGCAGAGTCGGGAAGGGACGCCCTAGAAAAAAGTTTATCGACCAAATTGGCGATATTTTGAAAATGGGCCACGTTAAAAGTACCCTTAACCGACGAGCATGTATGCGTAGATATATGGTGTAAAGGAGGCGAAAGAGGTTTGTCAGGATCGTGTCAATTGGAAGTCCGTGGTCACAGGCGTGAGTGTTTATGCTATGCTATGCTATACTTAACGACAACTTTTAAGACAGGCAAATAGTGTTATCGATTCTACATTCTACATTATATGTTACCAACGCGTGACTCAGTTAGTATCCTTGAGATCTGCTCATATTATATATTTTTGGCATAAATTGGAGAAACTCCGAACATAATGTTTTTCATATATAGATGGACTAATTTGTTCAACGCTATTCTTTCTTCTACTTTGTTCAATAGGTAATTAAATTCGCTGCTAAATATATACATTTCCCGTCGAGTGGCATACATAACTTGTAAGATTTACACATACCTAATATTTTCCTTTCCCTCGCACTTATATTGTTGCTACCCATTAGTAGTAAGTTGAATATAAGTTTGATAAATTTGAAATAATAACTCTTCCTATTTTTTACCTCAACAGTTCATCTCACAAACTGTAATTGTTAATTAATTTTTCAATGAAACTAAACTTCCTCGTTTTAAGTAATATTATTACGTAATTTATAAATTCTGAAATATGTCCAAGAAATTACCGAAACAAATTTCATTAAGTAGACGTAAATTGATATCCTTGATAAATAAACTAACTATAAACTGTCACTTTTAATGTACATTTGCAATCGTTTTTTAAATTTCTTTGCTACAACAGATGTGTTAACGAAGAGCTGAATGATTTTGTAAGTACTCCAAAAACGTTAATTTTGGATGTTAGTGTTTATCTTCATTTTAAATTGTTTTATGCCAAGACTCCAATGAATCGGTAATCCTGTGAGGTACTTCCCTTTATTACAGCGTCGGCCTTATTGTATGTATATATTTTTACAGGTATGTTGATGTCTACCAAGTATCTTGGACCAGTTTTTATCATGTTTCTATAAATGACTGTACACAACTGAGGGAGAACATCGGAAGGAAAAATAATATACGAATTCCGATTATCCATCTGGGGTAGATAGATAAACTCAGGTCTTCGAGTACCCTTAGTGTACTTTGGGGCGGATTTTTTAGGGTGGATCAACGAAATAAACCTATAAACCTATTATAATATAAACATGAACCAAATCCGTTTAAACTAAACAATTGTATGATCAAATTACATTACGTCATCATAATTTCATATTTTCTATTTGATTCATTGATGGCAATGGCAATTGACCGAGCAATAGCTACGCATTTTATTGCGCCCTGCTTATTACTTTAGTATTCACCATTTATATAAGGCGTGTGATGGAATATCGGATATGAAGTTTTCTTTTTTATGTGTTTTAACATTATTACTGGCTAGAACTTATGCGGTAAGATCAATTCAGATTACGAACGTAATACACTGACAAATTGTATTTTTGGTACAGAGCAAACAACTGATTTCAAATCAATTGGTATCTAAAAAAAATAATAATTTAAATTTGAAAATGGAACTACAGTTAATACACAAATATAGTTTTTTTTTTAATCCGTATAAAACTTGAAGTAAGGGAATAACAATACATTAATTTGAATTAAAATGCCACTTCTGGGCTGGGGCTCCCCAGTACCAGCTCCTTCCACTTGACCGCATCCAGCGCAGAGCGGCTCGAATCGTCGACGACCGAGTGCTTTCCGATCGGCTCGATTCACTGGCGCTGCGAAGAGATGTTGCATCTATTTGCATTTTCTTTCGCATATACCATGGGGAGTGCTGTGAGGAATTGTTCGGATTAATCCCAGCCGCCAAAATTTCGTGAACGCACTACGCGGCAAACGTCCCGATACCATCCACACCATCTGGATGCTTGGCGGTCCACCACTGTACGTTTCAAAAGGAGTTTTCTTCCGCGTACAACTTCTCCGTGGAATAGTTTACCACCGGCGATTTTTCCGGACCGATACGACCGGGGACCTTCAAGAAAAGAGCTTACTACTTTCTAAAGGGCCGGCAATGCACCTGCAATTCCCCTGGTGTTGCGGTTGATCATGGGCGGCGGTAGTCAACTTAACATCAGGTGAGCCGCATGCTCGTTTGCCCCCTCTTCTATAAAAAAAAACTTTAAACAAAACAACTTTTATATAGTGTTTTATAAAAAATACGTTTTTATTTCACAGGTGTACAATAAAAACGTTATCTGCATAATTGATCAGGTAAATAACACAGATTGAAATACTCAAAAGATGAAAAATATTCTAAAATTTTTACAATTGGGCTTCGTTATTTTCAGAATGGATACCCTACATGTAAAGCAATTGAATCGCCTAGCAGACGAGTTTACAATTTGAAAAATCTGCCATCTCACGATCCTTATATACCAAGACCGTATTCTGTCCTTTACGAATGTGCTAAAATGCATTGCACGCATGTTAAACTTCATTCTATTACTCAAGTGACATCACCTAAGTTAATTTTAAAATCCTGCTTCATAAAAAATAAACAAGATTATGAATGCGAGACGATTCGATATAATTATTTGAAAAACATCGATAAATTGGTATTTTTGTCAAATGCTATACCTAATAAAACGTTCTATTTGGTAGACTGCCTAATCTACGCTGACGGTGTGCGTGTTTGTCACAAAAAGGACCATATAAATTCACACGCAGATCTAGTCGATACCGGAACAATAGTAAGGTCTGATGAGCCCAACATTCTCTCACAGGACGAGTTCATTTGCGAAGAAAGTAAATACAAAGAAATAAACTGCGACCTCAATCCTTACATCCCTTTCCATTTTGGCCTAGAACTT